TAACTATAGATAGCGTTACTATCTAGAATTGTTAGCTAGAGTTTATATAATACTTTTATCCGGTCCTTTAACGGACTTCCCTCTTAGTTAGTATGCAATATAGCTTTCGAATTGTACTAGCGTTTGCGATTTACGATATACTTATATCGCACCTTTGCCTTTTATCGTGTAGATTAAGCTATAGCTCTTAGAGGAACATACTACTATATAATATACACTAGTTTACGACATCTCTATACCTTAGCTTGCGCCTTCTTCTCTCTACGCTTTATATTGGTAAATAGAAAAGAGATAAGCAATAGGTATAAGGCAACGCCTTTAGATAAAATTATAAGAGCGTCGATATACTAACGGTAACTAGAATAAATCTTTACGATACTATTATATAGCCTAGCACTCTTGCTRTATCGAAACCTTATGTACAATACGATATAATAGCGTAGGAAACGCTACAATACTCTAACTCCGGCGCCGAGGTAAAGCTAAGRGTGGTAGTGCATTCTGAAAAGCTATTTATGGGTTGTTGCAGGGAAGTCGCTAAAAGACCACCGTAATCAGATCCGAAAGTGGAGATCGTCGATACGTCTCGGCCTTGCCGCCTTGGACCTTCACCCAAACAACATCCCGCGTTCAAAGACATCGATCATGGCCAACAGCGGAGGCCAGGTCAATCTTTCGCACGAGGAAATCTGGGACGACTCGGTCTTGGTGTCATCTTGGAATGAAGCGTATGAAGAATATCAAGTTAGCCTCGATATCCTCCCATCTAAACCAATATGTCGCTGACAAGCTCCAACTTCAGAAGTACCACAGTCTGGCAGCGAAAGGCGAAAAGGCATCTCCACAGCCAAAAAGGGCCGAAGTCTTCAAGGCCGAGTCCAAAGCAACATCAAATGGTGTCACATCGCAGCAGCCTACAACGTTCACGCCCGTGAATTTTGCTGGACCAGGTATACCATCATCAGCATCGGAAACACCCTGCAAGGCTGCACCTCTGCCTACGGCTGCGAGTCTGTCAAGCGTGCCACAGACACTTCTTGGTGGCAGTAAGTTGTCATTGATAAACACCGCGCGTTTTGAATATTGACTAACGTGGTTGTAGCACAAGATGAAACGATGAAGAATCTCATGATGTCGTGGTACTATGCTGGTTACTACACTGGACTACTCGAGGGCAAGCAGCAAGCCTTTGCGAGCCTGGAGGAAGGTGGTGGCTGAGCGAGTTGAGTCTGCCTCGAACGCGATGCGCGAATACCAACCTCCAGTTCTACGATATGTTCAACAACGATGCCAACGCCATGCTGCAGGGATCTTGGCCGTATAAACGTGTGCATGGAGGGATATGATGTGACGGCTTCATGCCAGCCAACAGAAGCAAGGTCTGATAACATCAAAAGGCAAGAACATTACAGATGCCATTGTCAGGGCCCCTGTGTAAGTAGATCGAAATGCCGTTTGTAAAGTGGGAATTCGCAAGGACACATAACATGGACTGATACTGGAATTAGGCTTGAAGTCGTTCGGCCGAGTTGATATATTTTATGGCCTACTTTGCAAGAGACCGCCTGACTGGTACCCTGGTTTCTGGTACCACCCTGCTCCAACAGCAGCTCTATCTCATGATTGTCACATGTGGCCAACCGCTGCACCAGATATTCTCTCTGCACACTCTCCATCAATTGGATCCCAGAGCCGTACAGCGCCGTCGGTCCGATCGAGAATCAAGGGCGTCCATCYCCAAGCCCGCCCTAAATGTGGCATTAGCTGGGTATCAACCAAGACGGCACGAAACTATGCATTCGGAGATGTCCCGATTGCTCTGCCACTCTTGCACGCTGTATCAATGGACGATTGACTAAGATTTCGTCCAAGCTTTACGCCCGCCCGTTACGGACTAGCGCGAGTCGCGAAGAATCATGCGCGTCTTCCACATCAAGGATCATCAAACGATATATCGAATATCACCACGATGCTTACTGTTGCACACCACAATCGCAGCCAAGATATTGGAAGCTAGAGCTCTCTACTGGCAGCGGAACTGCTTCCACCAGAACCTTCAAGAGATGGCTCGAAACTGCCGATTTCGACTAGATCTGAAACGTGTTACGCGCCGCGAAGCCGAGCAATAATCACCAATGACATAGCACCGCTTTTTCACATTGGGAACACCTCGCTTGTTGAATGCATGAGAAGCATTCACATCCAACCAAATCTCTTCAGCTGCTATGAATATCGCTGTATCTGGACATGATTCTCTCGAGACGCCTGTGCGACGAACATCCGGCTCGCACAACATTCGCGCCAGGCATTCATGCTGCTATACTGCTCGAACGACAGTACCGAGCTTTGTTTCAGCTGTCGCGCTGTGGACGAGATCTCTCTGCATCGTGAAGCTTCACCTAATGCAGAACGCGGTCGGCGCGTGCATTCACAGTCGATTTGTGACAATAGGATTTTCCCCACCATGGCGGATCTGCAGCAGCAGCATCTTCTCAAGTGAAGTTCACATCCATTGCGATTATCTTTCTTTCCCGCTATTGTCACTTTCATCCTATTGTTCATTCTCGTCGAGAAGGCTCTTTTGCCTTCGACAGGCACTGGTCCTCTTCATCTTTCCTTCTCTACACATCTTCCCTTCACAACTCCGCAACATTTACTGCGTCTTCGCTGGTCGACCGACTCATAACGACAACATCACCCCGACTAATAACCCCCCAATTCCCCGACACAACACATGTTCCTACGGCTTTATCCAACTTCCAAGCTACTCTACCTTCCGTTCGAGAGTAGCCGTATCGAAAAGTTCACCTCCAAGTTCAATACTTCCAGAGACTCCACAAGCTCCCCGAAATCCGCAGCTATGCCCATGTCATCCAAGAACCTCAACGGGCCAGGCTACATCATCCTCAACGGTATCCGCGGTATGAACATCGTCGCTCTGCTGGCAGTCATCACCGCCAGCATCGTGATGCTCGTCAAGATCTCGACCGACACGAAGTTGTTCTTCTTCGACGCTGTCTCCCATGTCGTCACGGCGATCACCAGCAGTGAGTAGTAGTAGCTGTTTTATCCATCCAGTAACTGACATGATCTAGTGTTCCTCGTCACCTCCGAGCTCTCTCTGTTCCGTGCGTACTTCGCCCGCAACTGGCCGCTCTTGAGCCCTAGCCATGGCTTTGTTGGGCTTGGCCTTGCCATGATCGTCCTAGGCGTCAACGTGATGGGTAACCTCAACAAGCCTTCTGGGACTCAGAAAGAGCTTGGCCTACCCTTCTGGCGTATCGTCATCGGCTCTGGCATCATCGTCTTCATATTGGGCTGGATCAACCTCATCGCTGTAAGCAGACATGACGACTGTTGTGAAGAGCACAAGCTGACATTCCCCATAGAGCTACGTCTTCCGCAATCGCGAGCAAGGCACCACTGCACGTCAAGTTCGTGCCAAAGGCGCCTCCGTTCAGAAGACGCCGATTGTCAGCTCTACTACCGGCTACAACAGCCCGCCCGCACCGTACCTTGCTCAATCATACCGCTCCAACTCGAGCTCCTCATCGCCTGTCAAATCCCACAACCCTTTCAGCTCTAGGAGCTCAGAGCGCCGCGACTCCTGGCTGCCGTCCTACAACATCGCCGCCGCCACCGCCGCAGTTTCGAGAGACTCCTCCGTCTACAAGCAGGATCGTCCAGGCTCGCCCACTAGCAGATACTCTCGCGCTACAGCATGCACCAAGAAAAAGTTCTTCGGTGCCGGTGGTATTCTCGGCAGACAGAGTCTCGCTCCTCCGCTTCCAGACAACCCACAGCAGCAAGAGCGTGAGATGGAAATCTCGGCACCAATGGGCGTCAACCCGCAGTTCGCCCACCTCGTTCAGAGGCCTGATAGTGCGCTGCACCCAGCTCGCTCGGGGGAGAGCCAGGCGTATCGGTGGAGAGTATGATCGGGGAAAGGCGGTACGAGTAGTAGTCGAAATCGGCAACGAGGCTCCCAGGGCGCTCTGCATGGCTTGGTGTCGGGAGAGACTCTTCAAGCCACTGCTTGCTTTATGTGTCACTATTAGCGACGAGAAATGATACCCACCAATTACACACGGTCTTTGATATGAGATAGCACAATGCAATGAAGTCCTTCATTGATTTATGAGCTCCTGTTCCCCGTCAACTTTTTGATTCATAGTCTGTCAGGCCCAATCTTTCCTCAATCGCTTCTACAATCTGCTTCCAATCTTTCATGGCACCAGAACCCGTGTCTCCACATGCGAGTTCCTTCTCCATCGGCCGCAAAACTTCAAACCACCCGCCGTTCTTGACATTCCATTCACCTTCAAGAACAGACATGTGTTTGGCCGTGGCAGGATGATCCCACATTGCAGTGTTCATCGCGGGGGCTACTATGATTCCCTTCCGATTTCTGTCAGTTCCATATGGAAGTGGGATACCGGGTCGTGAAATGTCGATCAGACCCGTCGTATCCCAAGCTCTTGCGACGGAATCTACGAGATTGTCAGAGAAACCAGAGGAGATTTTGGCCAGGGCATTTGCGGATAACGGCGCAATCACCATCAAATCAGCCCAGCGTCGTAGCTCAATGTGCAGGATACTGGCGCCGCGTGTCCAAGGTCTGCGCCATTCGTCCGCGTCACGATAGATTCCATCGACATTTGGCATTTTCCGAATGGTTGCTAACGAGGGCTGTTCTTCAGCCTGGCCTGCGAGGAAGTTGGTCGCAGACTCAGTGAGGATGATGCGGATTGAAAGATTGCTATATCTAGCAAGAGCTTGAACTATGTTGGGGATCTTTATGGTGGCTACGGAGCCTGTAGCGGCGAGGAGCAGATGGCGTTTCCCATCATTCGTGTGATCTGAGGCCTTTAAAATCTCCTCGGTAGCTTCCGTAGCTGGGTTTAAATGTGATGACCCTGCGGGAGTGAACCGTTTGTCCTTTAAGAGCATACTGATGAACAATCCAAACAGTAAGAACCCGCAAACGGCAAAAATCGCGATGATTCCCAGATATCCTGGCATTTTGAGGAGAAGTTCCGCAATGGCCTTGTCCGTTGCAGGCCATGCCATGACGACGGCAGTGTCAGCCAATTGAGGCTCCGTAACAGAATCGAGGCTTTTGTCGACTGACTGTTGACTCTCGCCCAGAAGTCTACACAGAAGTGCGAAGGGAAGGCTGAGTGATGCTGCTGAGGTGACGATGATGTGGCGCGCAAATCTGAAAGATCCGAAAGCGGCAAGCGGTGAGACGGCGGTAGAACCTTCCTCCGTTAACAGACGAACCTCTCTCTTCTCTCCTTTCTCCCAAGGTTCCCGCGTCCCTTTGCCAGCGCGCGCACAGCGAATAACCTTACGTATTGATTAGGCGTACAACAACTACTGCCATCTTCGTCACGATAGTGGACGGTCAGCCAGTTCGATGGAGCAGGACTGATGTAGACGATTGTAACAACTCGACATGCCGAAGCACAAAAATTCGCTGATCTAGGTATTCAAGTCCTCATCGACATACTCAACGAGCTCGCTGCGACTTGCGATAGTACGTGCAAGCTCTGCAATGGGAGAAGGGCTGAGCAACTCAAACACCGACACATCGCTCCTAAGATCCGCCGCGATTTGTGATCTCAGTTCCACTGCCTGGAGAGAATCCACTAACACATACACCGTCAGCTTGGTTGGTCCCAAAGATCCAGAACGGCGTTGGAGCAAAACTTACCGCCAAAATCGAACAGCGGCTTTTCAACATCCACCTCGTCCACATCAATGCCGACAGCCGAAGCTACATACTGCTTGATCTTGAGTTGCACAACTGTAGCGGCTTCGTCCGCAGAGCCAGCGGTTCGAAGCTGCTCTTGGATACCGACGGTCTCAGCATCACTGTTGATCAATTGGCCGACAGTCATGAGGTTGAATTTGGGATCTCGTTGAAACCTCGTCGCTCCACTCTGACGGACGATGCGATTGTCAAGGCCTACGATAACCTGGCCAGGGATTGGTTCATCAACAGGACCAGCACCGCCCATGATGGCCAGAATTGCGGCCTGTAGCTCCTCCACGGTAGTCTGCACACCCTGGAAGCCGTGAGAGTGCCCCCCGAGGAAGTGAGAAGTGTCCAAGACAAGCCCAACATCAATACTAGTGGCGGGTAGACCAAGATGTGTCCGAGCATAGCTTGCGAGTGCGTCTTCGCATGTGTTTCCTGAAGCATAATTRGCTTGGCCCGCATTACCGATGATCCCCGTGATCGAAGACAGGAGGATGAAGAAAGGCTTGTCAATCAGTGATAGCTGGTCAAGCAAGTTGCGAGATCCGACTGCTTTCGGCCCGTATGCGCGTGTCCACTGCTCATACGTCAAGTTCTCGAAGATTGAGTCCTGCCACGAAAGTCAGCTGCTATATCGGAGTCGGCGCGGTCACCGAACATACCTCAAGAACCATCGCTGCCTGTATCACACCTTTGATCGGTCTCCCGCTGGAGATCAATGATTTAAACACCGATGCGGTACTTTCTCGATCGTTGATATCACATTTGAATGCGTCAGCTTTGACGCCCTTGGCGTGGAGTTTCTCCAGATCGTTCCGATTCTTGGATCCGCCCGAACGTGACAGGAATGCGATATGCCGTGCTCCTTGCTCCATCATCATGTCGGCAACCTTCAGACCGAGGGCTCCTAGTCCACCGCTGAGCACATATATGCCATCTGGGTCTAGTCGAAACTTCGGGGCTGGAGGTGCCAGCGTCAACACTTTGCTATCCTTTGCAAATGAAACCAACACCTCGCGCTCAGCTTGCGAATCTTTCAGGGCGAGGGCTTGTTCGATGTTGGAAACCGAGAACTTGGCATGCCGGACTGTGCAGTCCTGGTCTTGCTGCAAATCCGAGGAGATCAGCTCCAAGGTTCTTTCGAAAGTCTCATGCGTCTGACCACCCTTCACTCGAAACAGGCTTTCGCTATCGACGTGTACCAGCGTGCAGCTGGGTCTAATTGGAGGCATGGTGGTCATGTCGGAGGTCCTGGAAGTGGCGATATCCAGGAAGCAGCCGAACTCGCCAAGGATCGTAGCTGCCAAATTATTCACTGGTACATTCCCGTCGCCAACGACTATGTCGACACCCCTTCCCTTGGTCGCTCTCCGTACTGCCGGGACGAAGGTCCTCCGCGCTCCATCAAATATCTGCTCCGATGGGATGCCAAGTCCAGAGGCGAGGAGGTCTTTGGTATCTGCACTGTCGACCAAAGCAAATACCTGAGCACCCAACGCTTTCGCGATGCGAGCACTCGCTTGCCCCAGAGTACATTCAGCATCGACGACTAGGATGGTTTGGCCGGCTTCGACTTTAGCGACATCCACGAATGCGTGCTGAGCCATCATCAAAGATCCACAAAGAGCCACCGTGCTACTTTCTAGACCTGTATTTGGGACCGCAAAAACCATGCTCTTATCTTGTTGGATGCTGGTCTGGCAACCTTCGATGCCGAAGCATGCCACCCGCTGTCCTGGTATGATCTTCGTGACCATTGCTCCGCACTTGGTCACAGTTCCAACAACCACATTCGAGGAAGGTGTTCTCCCTAGATTGAGAACTTCTACATCGACCTGAATCTTGTTGTCTGTCAACCGCTCAGTAGCTTGATTGTGGTCGACCGGTATCCACAAAGAAGATGTGTTGCCCGAGGTTTGCTGGAGCGCGAGAGTTCCATTCAGGTTACCAAGATCCTCTATACGGGTGTGGGGATGCGGAAGTGCTTCATCGAGGTAAGGCGCAGGTATTGCCCGCGGTATGAAGATGTCACCGTTCAGCTCTGCAAACTCGGTCTCCGACCGTGGTAGCAACGAGGCCAGAAAGACATCCACGATGATGCGAGATGTAAGATGATGGTCCAAAGAGGATGCAACAGACAGATCGAGGAGAGGTAGTGCCACGTGAGGTATCTCGTTCCTGAGTACACGCAGCAGGCCTTGAGCGGCGGCAAACTCCACACTTCCCGCCCAGTCCTCGAGAATAGAGCCACRAGTTATCCAGAGCATGTGCTTTACGGACAATATCATGCGTTTGAATGAATCAAACTCCTGTTCGCTCCAAGTGTCAATGAAGGATTGCTCTGCTTCGAGAAGGGAGATGACGAATCTGCCTGACATCTGTCCTGCAGAAGTAGTGGTAAGGGTCAAGATCTCAGCCTTGATGCCATGTTGTTCCAGCTTCTGCTGAATAGCGAGGCTCAATGACCTGAGGGACGTTGGGCCATCGGAGACCAAGACAACAACTTCCGAGGACACCTTCGCGGAGGTAACTGAGGGAACGCTGGTTGACAATGCCACCYCATCCATCTTGCGCAATGGGAAAACAATGTTGCTAAATCCAGCTTTGAAAAGACCCTGCTGCCACGCCTTGCTCGATTGGTCCGACGTTGAAAGCGTGGCATAAGCAAGCAGTCCCTCTGGTGACAATGCTCCCCGCAGAGCGTTGAGCTTCTTCGTATCTYGCAAAACAGCGGATCCATCTAGTACCAGAACGATGTCTTGAAAACTTGAAAGACACTCCGGAGGGTCAACTGCCTTGGTGTCCCAGAAGTGATGTGTAGTTTGATCATCGTCGTGCGAAGAATCAATGACAAGTTTCGTGACATTCTCAATCCCCCCTATCTGGCCAGCAAGATTGCACAGCAGCTCGGCAGAATTTTCATCACTTTCGGGATTGAGATCGACGACGATGAGGACGCTTTCCACTTTGATTTTGTGCGCTGCGAGGGAGAGCCATTCGAGGATTGCCTGTATTGGTTCTGCAGGCAACTTGAGAGAACTGGCGGAAATGAAGTCGATGTCCTTTCGCCACCGCAGCTGCGCACATATGCGCTTTTGGGTATGTTCAATGACTTTGTGGGGATCCGCTGTGCCTGTGACACGACGAAGAGAAAAGTTGTTGATGACGACTTTTGGAGCTGCCCAGTCCTCGTCAGAAATAATGAGATCTCCAGTTACTTCGTGGCCATTGACGCTCTTGTTTGTCACGACGCCGAACCCTTTGTAGTTATCGACTGCAGATTTGGGTTGTTGTGCGGAGATGAACATCTCTTCTATCCTGTATGGTACCACAGACTCTTCGGCTGATTGCCCATCGTTTGGAGCTGCGAGAAGGATGTGAAAGAGAGAGTCCAAAGTCGCGGGGTGTATGGTATGCGGATACTCATATCTTGCGGGCATCGAGGATATGGTGTCAGGCACTTGAATTGAACCATGCGCAGCCAGTCTCTTCGTGAGGTTCGTGAGCTGCACAACATTCCGGAAGAGAGGACCGTATTCCGTTCCGATGGACTCTAGATGATCGTAGAACTCCTTAACATCAATCTTACGGGCAACCTCAGTATCGGCAAGCAGATTGCGGTAGACAGTAGTCTGGTCTTGCCACTCGATGTCCAAGATCTCAGAAGTTTCGATTCCTCGATCCGCTGCAATGGCGTATTCCAGCTCAACAACACCTCCGCAATGCTCAGTCCACGATCCAAGAACTGCAGAAGAAATTCTGAATCGAAAGCGACCGGGAGACCAGTCGTCCGGATATAACGTGAGGCGCACTTCTACCGTCGACTCGTCACCAACTGGTATCACAAGCCCGCGCTTGAACTCAACATGGTGGAATCTGAAGCCATCGAGAGACCTTTCCGCATTCGCCATCTCCTTCGCACCCTCCAGAGCCATGACTAGCATGCCTGCTGCAGGGTACAAGACTGTTCCAGTAATCTTATGGTCTTCTATCCACGGATTCTCCGATGCGCGGAGGATGTTCCGCCAACGAGGTTCAGCAGTTGAGAACTTTTCCTCTCTCTGGCCAAGTAGATCGGAGCGTGGTCCTTTAGGCCACCGATTCGACGTGCCTCCAACAGACTCATACCAATAAGATCGAGTGTAGTTCCATCGATATGGCGGTAAATCGACCAAGCTCTTGGGAAGTGGCAGTGTGCCATCGAAGCCGTTCACCTTGGGGAGTGATATTGAGTAGCCCAGACTCCAGAGCTGTCCAGCCACAGTAAGAGCAGTGACCGATGCATCTCGATTTCGCAGAAGCATTGACAAATATGGGCTTTCGGTGGGAGGCTTGTTAGACGTTTCCGCAATGATTTGCTGGAACGGCCCTTGAAGTGCGGCGTGCGGGCCAATCTCTATGAACCCACCCCATTTAGTGGGCGATAATCGCTTGCCACCGGGTATCGCTGCGCTCTTGTGGGCGAGCAGACTCTCAAAAGCTGCAGCAAACTGTACAGGTGCACACATGTTGGACATCCAGTATTCTTCATTTAGCTCCGAGGGAACTACCTGGAGACCAGTCAGTGAAGAAAACATAACCACCTCAGGGCCAGTTTCCTGACACCTGCTGAGAGGCTCGATGCGGCCCAGTCGATCCAGATAGGTGTCGGCTGCTTCAAGCATATGCGGCGAATGATATGCAATTTGCACTTTCAGCTTCCGTGCAAAGGCCCCAGATGCGGAGATGACGGTCTCGAGTGCATCAATGGCATCCACGTCTCCAGAAAGAGTCACACTGGAAGGACTGTTGATGCAGGCGACCACCGCGGTATCTTTCGCGACATGGGTCAAGAATTGAGAGGCTTCGGCAGCGGGCAGTCCGACAGCCAACATGGCTCCTGCTTTTCGTATGGAAGAAGAACAGGTGCCACGCATATAAGCGATTTTGACAGCATCCATATGTGAGAGTAATCTGGCAGCGTACGCGGCTGCTATCTCGCCGCTAGAGTGGCCAATGGTGGCTCGTGGTAGGACACTCCAGTGACGCAGCAGGTCAACGAGCGCTACTTGTAGCACCGTGCAAAGTGTTTGGCTGTATTCCGGCAGATGGACTTTAGACGTGTCGGACTTGTGTAGCTCGGGAATGATATCCCACTGGCAACCTAGAAGCTCAAGATACCGTTGTGATCGACTCAGGCTTGCAGCGAATGCTGCATGGTGCAAGAGCTGAAGACCCATAGTAGGCCATTGGGCGCCTTGTCCAGTGCATACGAAGACCAGGTTGGCGCTGTGAGAATTGACTCTTTTCGATTTGGGCAAGCTTTTCGTCAGCTGAGTTCGCAGACTGTCCACCGTCGGAGCAAGCAGAAAGCTCCGGTAGTCCAGATGAGATCTTCTCGAAGCTAAGGTCCATGCAAGCTCATCGACCGACAACGTCCCCTCACTTCTCCGAGAGAATCTGTCGGTATAGGCCGCGGCAAGTCTGTCAATAGCGCCCTGGTCCTTGMCACTTAACACCAAAAGCCGATTCCCGGAGCGACCTTCAACGGGGTGAATGAATGGGCAACCTGACTCTTTGCCGAGGCCAGAGCCAGACATGAGAGATGAAAATCTTCCGCGCTGTAAAGTATTGTGGTTGCCGTGCAGTCCTCGCTCTTCAAGGTAATGGAACGCATCATCCAAGATGGCCGTGGCATTAGCACCGCCAAATCCGAAAGAGTTGACAGATATACGTCGTTGTCCTGAGGTCGGCCACGCCATGACTTTCTCTGGAAGCGCCAGATTCCAATCCGATAGCTTGAGCTTTGAATTAATAGTATCAACGCCAAAGGTAGGGACCAAGACTCCATGCTCCAAACATAGCACTGCTTTCAAGATTCCGGCAAGACCAGAGCAGCCCTCGGTGTGGCCGATGTTTGGTTTGAGACTGCCGATGAAAAGCGGACCCATCCCCGCTGAAGTTATGCTTTTTCCCAGAGTAGATGCAACTGCTTGGAGTTCGATAGGATCACCGACAGGTGTGCCCGTCCCATGACACTCGAAGTATTGAGTGGACGACATGTCCAGACCGGCTTTGGCATACGTGCTTCGAATGAGATCAGCTTGTGCCAAAGAGCTTGGTTGGGTAACACTGGGTGTCTTCCCATCAGCATTAACTCCGGTGCCGCGGATAACAGCACGAATCGTATCACCATCTCGAAGAGCGTCCCGGAGCCTCTTGACGACTAAGCATCCGATACCTTCGCCACGACCGTAGCCATTTGCCCGACTGTCAAATGTGTGTGAGATACCCTCAGGGCTAAGCATGTGCATTGCGGAGAGCTGATGGGTAGTGATGGGTGCTAGCATGAGGTTAATGCCGGCCACTAAAGCTTGATTGGTCTCTCCGGACTGTATAGACTGGCAAGCCAGATGGAGGGCATACAAGCTAGAAGAGCATGCAGTATCAATGGTCATACTGGGACCCGTCAATCCGAAGAACCACGACACACGATTAGCGCTCATAGCCTCGCTTAACCCTACAAGACGTATTTAGTGTCTGGCAATGGTGGAATGAACAAGTCTTCAGGCTCACTTACCGGAAGCGGCAGCATGACCAACGTTGTGAATGTCGTGAAGAGAAAGCATTTCATAATCGTTGTTCATACAACCAACATAACATCCGGTGGATGTGCCCATAAGCCGTTCAAAAGGCATTCCCGCTTGACATATTATTGTTAGCTGCAGTTCTGGCTGAGGACAAGTCATTCACTCACCATTTTCAACGCCTTCGTAGCAAACCTCGAGCAAATGTCTTTTCATAGGATCCATGGCATTGGCTTCTCTGGCAGTCACCGAGAAGAACGGCGCATCAAACTTGGACACATCGTCTTCGAGGAAGTACCCGTGGTTAACGGCGATCTACATGTATTCTGTAAGCATAGCCAAGTGAGGCGCAATGGAATGAGCACCTACTCCTCCTTTCCTATCTGGATCGGGATGATACCATGTATCGGTGTTCCATCGGGACTCTGGCACTCGACAATGACCACTTCTTACATTAACCAGCATGTCCCATAGATCGCTTGGAGATCTGACGCCTCCCGAGAACCGACAAGCAGCGCCGACGATAGCAACGGCTTCTAGRGGATCATCCATAATGCCGAAAGTGTTGTGTGGTGTCCCTGGGTGTTGGAAGGCTCAGTTGTACTGTCGGGCATTCAGGAAAGGGTCGAAATGAATGTGGAAGGAAACGTTGCAGCGATATCATGCCACTCCACTGCAAGCAACGCACAAGTCTTGGTGAGTGAGCAACGATCAGTAGATTTCGTGGACTCCAGTTTATAATAAAGAGCCGGCTTTTGAGCAACGTGGACMCCTTTCTGTATGGCCACCGTTTGTAAGGCGTCCCTAACTTTCGAGATCGTGGCACACGCGTGGCAGCCCGGATGCGTGGCTCATCTTCATATCGAGTGATGACCACGCTTCACTGGCCTAGAGTCAAGCCTTCCCACAAGAGGTAAGCGAATGGTAGATGTGGGGATCAGAGGCCGTGGATATTACCGGGCTGTGGTATCCAGGAGAATCTGCAGGACAGCGCATATCATGGGCTGGATCCTCAGCCCCAATCTTCCCCGATGACGAGGAAGGATTGCGCGCGGGCATTTGCAGAGAAGCCGTAGCAGGAATGGTTGCATTGTATGCAATATTCATTGCAGGATTTGGTACAGTCCGTGCACTTGTCAAGAAATGACTATACTAGGTTAGCAGGTTTCCCGATTAGGCAAACCGGCAGTTTCAGCTCAGTATGCATATCAAGGCTCGTGACCCAGCAGATTGTTCAATACTTCCCTGCCATTTGATCTGATCGACTCGTAACGGGCTACTGTCGTCCTTCATTTTTTGTCTTGAGGTCCAATTTGCTGATACCAGCAGCTCAGACAGGCGAGTCCAGACGGCAAAAAGGACTTTTGTTTGGACCTCAACCTTTGCACGAGCGATCGGCAACTCCTGGCGGCGGTATGAGAGTCCTATGTCTACACGGTGTGGGCGGATCAGGAGCCTTGCTGAAGCAGCAACTCACTCCCTTCATCCGTGCCCTTGATCCAAGTTACGAATTCGTTTTTGTCGATGGACCTGTGCAGTCGCCGCGAGGACCAGGTCCGTTTATTCCTCATCGAGACCCAACGTTGTGGTAGCTTGTCTGACATCTCAACTCCAGGGATCGCTCCATCTGCTACTGGGCCATTTTTCTCGCACACAGTTGGCTACGAACCTCAGCAGATACTCGAAGCTTGCCAACATCTGGAAGAAGTTATCGAAGAAAGTGGGCCGTTCGACGGAGCTCTCGGGTTTAGCCAAGGCGCCGCACTCATCGTGTCCTTGATGCATCTCTGGCAATGCAATGGCAAAGAATCGCCCTTTGCTTTTGCCCTCTTCTTCTCCTCTAGCACACCCTGTGCGGCTCGCGATGATGCATGCACTGCGCTGATCAGCCGGCTAAGGTCCAAAAGTCTGGATCACAGCCATGAGGGAAGTTTGAAGTTAAGAGAAAGCGATAGCCTCACCGCGGAAGAGCAGATCTATTGGAGCCTTCTGTGCGATACGGTCTTCCCAGCTCGGAGAAACAATTTTCTCCATCCGCCTTTTGATTTGGACGCGTACACGGATCCTCAACATCCGCGGGATGCTCCTTTGACCATGCATCCAGCTTTACACGATTGGAGGATTCGAATACCAACCGTCCACTGCATAGGAAGTCGTGACGCGCCTTCCATGCAGGGCATGTCGAGATCGGCATACGAAATGTGCGCCGGCGATGTGTCCAAACTCTTGTACCATGGTGGTGGTCACCAACCTCCACAGAAGCAAGCAGAAGCAGCCGCGGCCGCGGCCGCGACGGAATGGGCAATAAATCAATCACGCAAGGCTCTCAGACTTCGTCTATAGCTTCCGCGATCCGAGAGAGTCGGTCCCGGTGGCACAGTAGATTCAGGTAATGTGT